AACAGTGATCAACTCATAAATACATACTATTTTCTTTTATTTTCTAAAAAAGTTTTTGAATGTTTATTTATTTTTGAGAGAGAAAGAGACAGAGCACAAGCAGGGGAGGGGCAGAGAGAGGGAGACACAGAATCCGGAGCAGGCTCCAGGCTCCGAGCTCTGGGCACAGAGCCTGACGCGGGGCTTGAACCCACGAATCATAAGATCATGACCTGAGCCGAAGTCAGAAGCTTAACCGACTGAGCCACCCAGGCGTCCCCATACTATTTTCTAGCATAAAAATGGTTTTAGGAATGTATATGTACAAGAATAGGGCAGGCTGTTAAGTTAACTTTATGTTTATTTAATATAGCTGATGAAGTTACCAGACAAATATATTTTAATGTAACAAAAAGTTATAATTGATGTATATCATCTACAATGTAAAGGATTTTAATAATTTAGTATACCCAAAGACATTTGAATTTTACCCATTTTTGAGATGTAAAATACACAATTATAATACTCATACTACATATCTTATAATTTTAAAGTTTTAGCGAAAACATGAGTCTCTGTAGATAAAAGCAAGAATTCTCCTGTACCTAAGACAAATAAAAATGTATTACTAATAAAGTGCCACTGGATTAGACAATGCCATTTCAACTATTTCCTTTTTGGAGAGGAGAACACAAGTACATGATAATATGGAACTAGCCATTTTCATTATACTAGCATAGAACTAGTAATGGGCATTGTATTTTGTAACAAGCACAAGAGTGCTCATTTATAGTAGGTATTAACCATAATAAAGAATTCCTTTCAAGAAAGATCACAATTATGACTTATGACAAGCTGTACAGTCACCACTGAATATAGTTTGGTGTCCAGAGTTTTTAAAAAATACAATCATGAACTAAGATGAACCTAAGTCTACCAATACCAAGAAATAGTTTTAGGGACTTCATATAAATAAAATAACCTCTCTCTCAATTGTAAAGTAGGTTTCATCCAATTCTAAGGCGAGAGGAATAGTAGTGGTTGGTAAAGTTTGGCAACAAGTATGTTTCTAGCAGGTGAAAGAAAGCTCGATATGCATTGCTATAAGATGCCTCTTTCACACAAGGAAAACATGCTAATTAGATGTAGATAGCACTTTTCAGGCACTTGACCTCACTTGGTAGTTAAGTTGATGTTCAGATGTATACTTAATGGAGAAACATTAAATTATATAGTGACTTCAAGTCATGTTCTCACAGAACATCTGTGTTCCATAAGCTAAATCCAAATGTTCCCGCTAAAATCAAATAATGATGCCATATATCCAGTTCAGAGAAAACAAATTTAATAGATTAAAGTTAATAGATTGAATTTTCTCAATTTTAAGATTTTCCACAATAAATTTTTCATAAGCCTTTGTTGTCTATTACTTGTCTGAATGCTAGGAGAAAAAAAGGCTTAAAAACTATAAAATATTATGCCTAAGTAAAGTTAGAAAATTTTCAACTGTTGATCAGTTCAATATAACATACGGTTTATGGAAATATGCTCAGAGTTTGCTCTTATACTGCTTAAGAGCCATATTTTCTCATAGTAAATTTGTTTGTGGTTCATATTATAGAATTCAGTATGTAAACATTTTCATGTACCCAAAGAGCATTATGAATTTTTGATCTGTTGTCCCTAGATATGTTTGAGAACCACTATCTATTTGTCTGGCTCTAAAAACTATCTTTGGGGTCCATGCCAAAGAAATGCTTTCAGATAAATCATTAAGGTTTGGGTTCTAAGATAAGACTACCAAAGTCTATTCTACAATGAAAACTATATGGCAAGATTTCAGTATAGATGTTATCAATGTTCCCATTTTGTTTTAATACTTAGGTTAAGTATTTTGATGTTAAGGATTTTTATTTGCATGTTATCATTGTATTACAATTTGGGAAAATTTGGCAATATACTTTTAGGCAGCTTTAAAATAATGCAACTTCAGCTCTTAGCACAAACAGCCCTGAGAACAATGCATTCAAATTACAGCTCAACTAGAAATAATCTAATTGAGAAACTTTAAAGTTACAAAAACAAATTCTGGAAAAGTTGTAAATTAAAAAAAAAAAGTCACAACATTTGAGGCACTACCAGACTACAGTACTTTTAAGAGTTGAAAGGACTTTGTAAAAAGAACAAACATACAAAGCTGGGTGTGCATATGCACACACTCCACATTGTGCTATAATGAAAAATTGTGTCCCCAAATTTTATAGCCTAAACATTTTATTATAGCATCTCCTATTAAAGATATCATGCTCCGGCTGCAGGAGAGTTTTGGTAATTGTTATAAAGCATTGGTACAGAATTTTGTACCATAAATGGTAACGGATTCAAGAGCTTGGTTAGCAACAATTTCAAGTGACAGACAGCCCTTGGAGGGGAGAATGAAACATCATAATTATGTTTATGACGCAAATGCTAAGTCAAAGTAGCAATGATTTGATCTATTTCAGAGGGTATTCAACTTTGTAGTAGCAAATAAGGTATAACAAAGTCTTCACAGTAGAAATAAAATATGTTGCTCTAGAAAGAAACAAATATTCCACTTGTTAATATTGTATACAAATTGGTGAAATGCCTGCCGACAAAAATGGTGTATCATCGTATAATCTATCAACATGACAGTCTACACTCTATACATGGTAACCTGTGATATTTAACATTTGCTACAAAAAAGTACAACAAATACTAGGAATCAACTTTTAATATTTCTGATGTCAAAAAGAATGAAGTTACTGCTGTTCTATGTTAAAAAATACGTTTACCTGCTTCCTTATAATACAATTTATAAAGCTTTACTAAATGAAATATTTTGTTCTAGAGAAACATGTACTGACTTATGTGAAAATAAACAGTCCCATATCTTTAAAATCTATACTTATACTTATATATCAGAAGAGTATTTACATTTCATTATGGTACTTAAAATATTTATGCATAAATAGCTTTTGCCATTCAAGGTATGAAGATAGAGATGCATTATAATTCACATATGCTTACCTCACAATTGAAATGTATTTATGTGAAGTTTGACAAGTTAGGAACAACAAGGGCATGCTAATCCAGAATTAACAGTAAACCAGAACACTAGTATGGTTAACTGGGGTCATGTGAGTGACCAGCAAGCAGCACAGATTGAGAACTTCCTGGAATTCCTGTGGATAACAATGCCAACCAGTAACAAGTAAAACGCACAGAACAGACAACTAAAACACTAGAGCAGTATGAAGTAGATACTTAGATGGAATACTGGAAAGAATTTAGCCTAATTCCTAATTGTGCTTCAGATGGGCAAAAGCTAAGATGTTATGCTAAAATGGTTAACTATAACCTCTATATTTCTTGTGCTTTAGAATTCTCCTTGCATTTCTCTTAAGTATCCTGTTTTCTTCTCCAAATGGGTTTGCTAAGGCCTATACAAGATTTTAAAATGTGCACAAATTAAGTAACTAAACCTTTGGGATCTTCTGTTCCTAATACTATTTTCAGTATCGCTTCTCGGCCTTTTGGCTAAGATCAAGTGCCTAATGCTATTTTTAGTTACTGATTAGATCGGTTACAGCATCATATATGTTTTCCTCCAGATGATAGGAACAAAGGTCTTTCAGAGGTCAAGGCATGATGAGAAAGGTCTCATAATCAGTCTTAGAGAATGATTACTGAAGTAGTGATTTTGTTCTAAGTTTAATTTCAATATAATGATTGTTTTTAAGTCAAAGGTCCTTGCAAACCCTGTGACAGTGTCTAGAATCCTGAAAATAAGATATACGAAGAGAAATGTAGCTGAGTCACCTAAAACACTTTTTAAAATTATTCAGTTTTTAGAATTCTTTCCTAGTTATGTTTCACACTGGTAACCGAATTAAGTACATAACAATCAGAAAAAAATATATGTACTTCTCAAAGTAAGAAAAATAATCATCACAGAAAGTAACTCTGCTCCATGATGCACTTTCAATTCACTTTAGAAAAAGTGTACATAAATTTAACAAATATTCCAAATCAATTTAAAGAATATCCAGTTTTGCTGGACAACTAAATATTTTAATGCCAAAAAGTGTACTTAAAAATGGTTGGAAAGGAGGGACTACTATAAATACCAACAATTTATTCAACATATTGATAAAGAGCGCTGCATAGCATCCTATAAAGCAGGTCACTCCTTTAAATACAGAGAGAGAACAAAAAGCAAAAACATAACTAGAAAGAAACTTTCTATTTTTATGCCAGTTACACAGGCCTCAAGTAAAAACCTAACCAATCCCCTTTGCCACTGTCCCCTGTAGACTCGTCCTTTGTAATCTGACTTGCTAATAACAGTCAACCTATAGTTCAATGTCTGTCAACTATGAGCAGGTAGCAAAATCACTACATATAAGGTTATGTTTAGTCTTGCAACAATTTGGCAAAGGAAAGTATGACTGAGGTAATACAGGTGGCTGCACATGCCTACTAAGAAAACTGACACTTTTTGATAACATGATTTTTGGTTAAGGATTTGTGCTTGCCACACACAGGCTGAAACTGTGACAATTCCAATCCATAATCAACTCATTCTATATTAGGTCTGAAATTAATGCAGAACAATTCAACTTAAATGTGGTACTTTGATACCACTAGATGCTACATTGTCTGATTTTAAGCCCTGGTTTATCTATCAACTAAAATTCAGGAATGATTTGCTCAGACAAATCATATCTGCTGAAGCCATCTTATCTATTTTTTGTACTCACTGAAAACCACAGGAAAGTTATAGGAAAGACACCTACAAAATTAAAAAAAAAAAAAAAAGAATTACAAACTTGATGATTTTAAATTACCAATTGCCTACAAAACTGAGTACAATTTCAAAACAATTTAAAAAAATGAGGTGGCTTATGAAGGCCATAGCTTTGGTGACAACTTAGACCCAAACTTTAGATCTGTGGTTGATCCAGACCTAACATTTTGCTCATGCCTGATGTTCCCATTTATTTGCAGGGCTTTATGGCTACAGCATATTCTTCACTCATTGCACACATAACAGACACCTAGAAGGGAAAAATGCAGGCAAAAAGTTATTCAGAAGGCAATACATACATAAGATATGTTATTATATACTGGATATTTGTGGATATTTTATACATGCTGACTTTGGAAAGAGGTATTCCAAGACCAGATAACCTACTTTCTTTAGAGTTTTCCAAAGTAAAATTTCTCAAACTGTGGTTTTTAAGGTGACTTCCAGGAAACAGGAAGAATAAGAGCTATGAATGTCTCAACACTTATCAGATGTCATACTTCTGAGAGTCATAGCAAAGACAAAGAGTAAATCACCTTCACGCTTTAGTATTCCCATACCATCTTTTCTTATCTTTCATAGCTCAGGTGCTGGTCTTCAAAACAAATTTGGGGTTGGCAATGTCTGCTTAGCAAAAAGTGAACTTCGATACTTTCTTTGGTAATGGACCTCTCGGGGTATCATGGGAAAACCGTCTCATAGAGCAGTATTTAAAAACTACATTTCATATTTGCCATTTTTTGCTAACTAGTTTATGTCACAGTTCTTATAAAAAGCAATCTCCCCTTAGGTCTTTACCTGTACATCTTCACCTGCATTGTATTTTCCTTCTATTTCTTTACCTAGTTCACCTTCTGGCAGCTTAAGATCCTCACGAACTTCACCGGTTTCTGTCAGCAGGGATAAGTAACCATCCTGAATACATATCAGCTATTAAAAGAAATTATATCATTTGCAGTGATTAGATTATATCACTTTGTAATATTTACATAGTTAAGTTGCAATCCACATTAATTTGTACAAGTACACGGTAATACGTTAATATATTCTGAGCTTAAATAATGCTAAACATACAAAACCATAAAAGATGTATAGACTAAAAGTATAAGTTCACTCCTTCCTGCACACCACGTTCCCCCAACTCTCTCTCTCTCTCTAATATTCCCTGAAGCATTTATGTGTATGTGCACAATACAAATATAGTTGCTTTAGAAAAAATAAATGAGAATCCAAGGTGATTCTGTCTACATGGGGTCTGCTCATGTCCCTCTTCAGGAAATTAGTAACTTGGAAAAAAATCTGACATGTCTTAGGTTGTTGGAGGGAAGGGGATGTTTGTTTCCTTTGCCTGCCTTTGGCTGCCTACACGTATACTTCAACCCTTTCTGGATAGGTTGCGTCTTCTTAAGCCCTTGACCTAGACCAGAGGCATTGATACGCATCAGGTTTCTTTAGTCATCAACTATGACCTTCCCACCAACAGGGGAAACTATCCATAGAGTTGGTCCTGGTGGACGATTTGGCCATAAGGGTGTGGCCCTTAACATGGTGACAGAAGAAGACAGGAGGACTCTTTGAGATATTGAGACCTCCCACAGATCCTCAATTGAGGAGATGCTCGTCAATGTTGCTGACCTCATCTGAAGGGCTGTCCTGTTACCTAGCCCTATCCAGGATTCAGGCCCTGGGAGCTGAAGAGGAGCAGGAGTGGGGAGGGAAGGGAGCCATGGGATAGACATCTTGTCAGGTTTTTTTCTTTTCTTTGAATCAATGTCACTTTTTGTGTCAAAAAAACATAAATGGGATATTACAGGTATTTTTCAGCAAGTTGTTTTCACTTAACAGTATGTCTTAGAAATCTTTCCAAATTGGAAACTATAGGCCTACCTCAGTCTAACTACTTCACAGCTGCATAAATAGATTGTAACTGATTTAACTATTTTCCTATTAATGGGCATAAAGTTAATTTTAGTTTTCCATGATTACAATGTGTTTTATAATTTGATTATGAACAAAATTCTGTAGAAAACTTTTGGTGTCCAGTTTACTATTAACGTTAGATTTTTTTTAAAGACAAACATTTGCTTGTTGATGACATTAATGAAACAAACCCAGTCTAACCTACAAAGAGACACAGTTTTGATATTCCTGATTTTTTTTTTATTACAGGAATGATGAAATAGCCAGGCTGTACTTATTTATTCTAGAAGCATATACAGTATGTCTAGATTTCTTTAAGTTTATTTAAATTTTAGTTAATGTATAGTGTAGTACTGGTTTCAGTAGAATTCAGTGATTTATCACTTAAATACAACACACAGTGCTCATCACAAGTGCCCTCCTTGATGCCCTTCACCCATCCAGCCCATCTCCCACCCCCTTCCATCAGTCCTCAGTCTCTTCTCTCCCCCCCACTGCCTTCCCATATCTGTTTTGTTTCTGAAATTCCACATATAAGTGACTACTGGGGGGAATGCAAACTGGTACAGCCACTTCCACTCTGGAGAACAGTATGGAGGCTCCTCAAAAAAACAAAAATAGAACTATCCTGCCATCCAGCAACAGGTGCCTAGACTTCTAACAGATTTTATAAAAGGCAATTGTTCGGAATACCAGATGCTAACATTGACAAACACAAAAGGAGTTGAAGATTTGGTCCTTACTCCCCTTTACTGCTTTGTGTTACTGTTTGTAACACAAACCTACCATAGAGGTAGATTTCAAAGCTCCTCTCTATGGCACTACCAAATCTGGCTATGGCTTCCCACAGATATCTCATCAGATTTCAGCTTTTGCACACGTCTAAAACCTCAAAAACAAAAAGCATCCTCTAAGCAACTACAAATCCTTTTAATTCATCTTTACATCACTCAAACATTTGTGAGGTAGTTGGGAGAGGAGTGGGAAACAAGGAGGTTGAGGCAGAAGTGTAGTTTTTTTTTATTGTACCAATTGTTGTATACACTACAAAGTGATCACCAAAATAAGTCTAGTTACCATCCATCACCATACAATTGACCTCCTTTACCCATTTCACTCATTCTCCAATCCCCTTCATCTCTAAAAACCAACCACCAATCTGCTCTATAAGTTTTGTTTTGTTTTTGTTCATTTGTTTTTTACATTCCACATAGAAGTGAAATCATACAGTATTTATTTTTCTCTCTCTGACTTATTTCTCTTAGCATAATATCTTCAAGTTCCATCCAGGTTGTTGCAAATGTCAACATTTCCTTTTTTTCATGACAAAGTAGTAATCAGTTGTATATGTATACCACATCTTCTTTATTCCTTTATCCATTAATGGACATTTAGGCAGTTTCCATATCTTGGCTACTGTAAACAATGCTGCAATGAACATCTGGGTGCATATAGCTTTTGAAATTAGTGTTTTCATACCCGAAAGTGGTATAGCTGGATCATTATGATAGTTCTACTTTTATTTTTTGAGGAACCTCCATACTGTTTTATATAGTGACTATACCAATTTAAATTCCCACCAACAGTCCAAGAAGTTCCTTTTTCTCCAGATCTTTTCCAATAATTGTCACTTTTTGTCTTTTTGATAATAACCATTCTAACATGTATGAAATGATATCTCATTGTGGTTTTGATTTGAATTTCCCTGTTAATTAGTGATGTCGAATATCTTCTCAGGTACCTGTTGGCCATCTGTGTATCTTCTTTGGAAAAGTTTGCTTTGATCCTCTGCCCATTTTTTATTTTTTTTTTTAAATTTTTTTTTTTTCAACATTTATTTATTTTTGGGACAGAGAGAGACAGAGCATGAACGGGGGAGGGGCAGAGAGAGAGGGAGACACAGCATCAGAAACAGGCTCCAGGCTCTGAGCCATCAGCCCAGAGCCTGACGCGGGGCTCGAACTCACGGACCGCGAGATCGTGACCTGGCTGAAGTCGGACGCTTAACCGACTGCGCCACCCAGGCGCCCCATCTGCCCATTTTTTAAACAAATTGCTTGGGTTTTTTTTTTTTTTTTTTTTTTTTTTTTTTTTTTTTTTTTTTTTTTTTTTGCTATTGAGTTCTTTATATATTTTGGACATTAACCCCTTATCAGATATATGATTTGCAAATATTTTCTCCCATTCAGTAGGTTGCCTTTTCATCTTGTTGATGGTTTCCTTTGCTGTACAGAAGCATTTTAGTTTGATGTAGTCCCACTCATTTATTTTTGCTTTTGCTGCCTTTGCTTTCGGTGTCAGAACCAAAAATGTAATGCCAAGACCAATGTCAAGAAGCTTACCACAAATGTTTTCTTCTAGTTTTGTGGTTTCAGGAATTATATTCAAGTCTTTAACCAATTTTGAGTTAATTTTTGTATATGGTGTAAGATAATCTAGTTTTATTCTTTTGCATGTGGCTGTCCAGTTTTTCCAACATCATTTATTATATAATTCTAAATAGCCACAGGCTTACAAGGCAGATCTTTTTGCTTTTGGCTCTTTTAGCAATTCCCTGAAGTAGAACTTGTCTATTTCGAGAATTAAAGGTTCCCACTGCCATTAGTGACTGAAACATAAAAGTCAAATAATACTACTGATACTTTGATATTTATTTATATAATGGTGGTATTTTATTTTTAAAGAGTTAAGAATTCATCAGTTAAACTGTGGGATGAAATATAAAGCATTTCAAATAAAATATGTATAGACATTATAAAATATCTAGTAAAACAACATTTTAAAAAATTAAACATCTTATTAAAATAAATTGCTATATGAAATAAAATTAAAATTTTCAAAAATAAAACTGTAGAAAAATAAAATTAAATAATGAAAATTATTTGATCTTCTTACACAAATTATTTTTAAAATTTCAGATATACAGTAAAGTTACAAAAATAATACATCAAAATCCCATATTTTTCCCCTTGATTCACCCATTAACATTTAACCGCATGTGCATTTATGTATATATAAATTCATAAAATACATAGAATATACATTCTTGTTCTTTTCTTCTTTTTACTAAACCATTTGAGTATGTTTCAAAAATCATGATTCTTTAGCAAGAAAGACAATTTTTTTTTCTTTCCCAAAAAAGACAAATTCTTATATAACCAACTTATTTTTTTTAATTAGGAAATGTAATATTGCTAAAATATTATTTAATATATAGTCCATATACAAATTTATCAATTGTTCCAATATTGTCTTTGATAGAAACTATTTCCTCCCAACTCCAGGTTCATACCTTGTACATATTTGGCATGGATATGTGCATGAAGACCACCACAGCACAATAATTATAATTGAAAAGGCCCACAGAGCTAAATTTTTTAAATGAACAGAAATAAGTATTATATGGTGACTTGATAACAAAGGGGTATGATCGCTGAGTACTTACGATGCAAGGCACTGTTCTAAGTATTAACTAACTAAACCTCCCGTGAGGTTTACTATTCTTATCTTCACTTTATAAATAATGAAAAAAAGGCAAGAGGTTAAATAACTTGCCAACCAAGGTCACGTAATTAGTAAGTGTTAAAGTAAGGATTCGGACCCAGCCTATCTGGCATGAGTCATTCTCTTATCCATGATCCAGTACAGACTACATACCAAAAGCTGACACTAGGATGAGGAAAGTGAAGCACTTGTTCTGAGTGCAAAATTTAAGGTGGCACCAAAAAACCTCATCAGTGATCACATATTTTAAAACTAAAATTAATACAAAAATTTCATGATGAACAAAGTATCAAAATTTTAAATAAAGACAAAATTTGAACTACTGATTTTTCCTTTTAGGTGGCTTAGTCGGTTAAATGTCCCACTTCTGATTTCGGCTCAGGTCATGATCTCACTGTTCATGGGATGAAACCCTGAGTCAGGCTCTGTGCTGATATCACAAAGCCTGCTTGGGATTCTCTCTCTCTCTCTTTCTCAAAATAAATAAACTTAAAAAAA